TCACTACTGTTAACACAGGGGGTGTTACCTGTAAGGTAAAGCAGATTCAGTATGCCAAATGTGTCACTACTGTTAACACAGGGGGTGTTACCTGTAAGGTAAAGCAGATTCAGTATGTCAAATGTGTCACTATTGTTAACAAAAACATATTTCCTATTCAACATTGCTTTAGAGCATAGTTGTTCCTTTGTTGAGTCAAACCAACCAGTTGTCAATAAAGTACAGTCTAGAAGTGGTTTTCTAAATAGTTACCGGATTTTTGCATGCCAGTTCTACCCTTCGTCTATTATTCAATCCATCTGTGCATATGGCTTTTGGCTCCATTTTTTCGTCACCGTCTATACTGATTTGATATTTCTAAGGTAATAATTACCAAGTTGACGATAATGGATCTTTAAAATATGGTTACAATATAACCGCAAAATACAACTTGTGTTAAAATGGTAAGTTCAAGGTTAAGAAAAACGGATTATTCTCGGTGTTTTGAATAATTTTGGGTTTTATTAATTTTTTTTTATTTTTTTTTATACATTTTGGTGTAAAACCCCAACAAAATTAAACGTGGAGTTTGACGAGATCCATTTGTTTCAAGTTAAGCGCAGAGCTACACGATATATCGAAACCCGGTTTTTAGCGTTGTAAATCCGCAGACATGCCGCTGTGCCACTGAGGGGGGGGAGGATGACGAGGTCTACTTACTATTGTTAAGATTCAAACAGGAGTATCTCTCTTTGTCTGTGTGAGAGAGAGAGGGGAAGAGTTAAAATGTGTGTGTGTGTGTGTGTGTGTGTGTGTGTGTGTGTGTGTGTGTGTGTGTGTGTGTGTGTGTGTAGTGTGTGTGTGTGTGTGTGTGTGTAATATAGAAAGTTTTAATGACTCAAAAAATTGTTGTTGTTGATTGATGTTTTATGGCACAAAGCAACGAGGCTATCTGTGCCAAACAACCAGTAAAAACGGTGAAAGTAAATTAAAGTAAAGTGTAAAAATACAGTGAATTAAAACCAATGTATGTCGATAAAAGATTTATAAACAATTAAAAAGACCGATAGTGCGTAAAAAATTAAAAATACAATCCAATCGGACAGTGTCACCATTACCAATGACACTGTCCAACATCAGGGGTAAACTCTTAGAGAATACGTGTTTAAAATAATGCCGCTGCTCACAATCGTAACGACAGTAAAATGTGGGCTATTGTGATTTGAGCGTCACAATGGCTACACATCGGTGGGTCAGTACCTGATAAAAGAAAACGATGGGTTAAAAAACTGTGACCAATGCGTAGCCTTGCCAGGACTACTTCCTCCTTCCAATATTTACAGAAGTAAGACGGCCAAAGACCAACTGTAGGCTTGATCTGGAAAAGCTTGTTATGACATTGCTCACCCAAGTCGACTGCCAACTGGCGCGAAGCCATGCCTTAAAGACAGGACCGCAGTCCATGTATGGGACAGGCATGGCCATGATGCCACCAGAGCAGTCTGATTTAGCTGCGGTGTCAGCAAGCTCGTTCCTGTGAATACCGACGAGGCCAGGGATCCAGAAAAACTGGATGGAAACAGAAGATAGAGAAAAGTGGGCCAATCGGTGTTGAATATCGATGAGAACAGGGTGAGAACTAGCGTTAAGTGATTCCAGGGCCAGTAGAGAGCTAAGAGAATCAGTGTAAATAGTACAATTACTGTACGCATAGCTTCTACATGATCCAGGGCAAGAGAAATAGCATACAACTCGGCAGTGAACAAAGAAACTGTAGAAAGGATCCTGCGAGCAACTACTGAGCCACAGCACACCATGGCAGAACCTACAGAGTCACCCGATTTTGAACTATCCGTGTAAATAGGAAGAGAAGAATGGCTCGAAAGATGCTCAGCAAAAAGAAGATGGTACTTCCAATCGGGAGTATCCGCCTTCCCCAGATGACTCAAGGAAAGGTCACAGGATGGGATGGCAATAAGCCATGGTGGAATGAGCTGATCATTGGGAACAGCAATGTCATCCAATGTCAGACCCAATTCAGCCAGTTGTGCCTGGATACGAAAGCCAAAGGAAGGAATAGCAGACCCTGGTTCCGAAAGAGCATGGCATATCGTGGGAGAAAGACACAATCCCAGGTGGGATACCGTGGTAAGGATCAAAGCTTGGCAGCATATTGTAAAGAAAGTTGCAATCGACAGAGGTGAAGAGGAGGTTCGTGGGACTCAGTGTACAACCTCTAGACTGGAGGAGTGTGAAAAGCCCAGTACAGAGCCGAAGCCCCAGATTGTGAATGGGGTCCAGCATCTTCAAGGCCGAGGTCCTGGCAGAACCATAGACCAAAGACCCATAGTCCAGTTTGGATCGAATCAGTGCACAATAGATCCTGAGCACAGAACATCGATCTGCTCCTCAAGAGGTGGAAGAGAGGACACGGAGGATGTTCAAAGCCCTTGCACATTTGACACATACCTGCTTGATGTGCGGAATGAAGCTAAGCTTACGGTCAAAGATAAGCCCCAAGAACTTTGCCTCAGGGACCACACGAATGACTGTATCACCGAGACGAAGCTCGGGATCGGGGTGGAGACCCTGTTGGCGGCAAAAATGCATGCAAACGGTTTTAGAAAAAGAGAATTTAAAACCGTTTGCAATGGTCCATGTCAACAGCTGATTGAGGGTAGTCTGAAGCTGCCGCTCTATAAACCTCATGTTCGACGACTGACACGAGATGTGGAAGTCATCAACATAGAGCCCATTTGCAACAGTCGGAGGAAGATTTGTTATGATGGCATTAAGTTTAACACTAAAAAGTGTGACACTCAAGACACAGCCCTGAGGGACTCCAAGTTCCTGTGGGAAGGAACGGGAAAGAGTGAAACCCACATGGACTTGGAATCGCCTGTTCTGTAAAAAATTGCGGATAAAAATGGGTAAATGGCTACGCAACCCATATGAGTGGAGATCCTGCAAAACTCCA